GAACGAGCAACAACGACAACGCGAGAATACTACAAGTGAGCAAAAGAGAAAAACTCTAGTCCCCTGTACTCCCGCCTCACAATAATTAAGTGCCCCAAAACCAATCGGAGAGGCCGTGCAAAAGGTTAGCCCCCCCCCTCCCCCTTGATAAAAGAACGGAACCCTCAAGTTCGCTCCAACCCATTGTCACTACTTACGCCTCCTCAAAGGCTTTTGTAGCTTATTCCCGCTGGGCGATCACGCTCAGGAAGCAGTTGTAAAAGATCTGGATAGTGTTGATGTACAGCAGCCGCTGCGAGGTGGGGATCAGGCGGAAGTTGATGGCGTGCGCCACGGGCCACACCGTCCACGATCCCTTCACCTGTGGCCGAATACAAAAATGACATCAGCCAGCAAGTTCGGGAAAGACACACGCGCTTCGCGTCAGAAATATTAAAGCGTTTCCCATTTGTTGCCCTCTTCTGTTAGTTTCGACTCAGCATGTGAGCATGAACGATGGATGGGCTCTACAGTTTGGGGTGGTAGTGGTCCAACAAACAGATGGGAAATTGTTTCAAAATGTGTCCCGGATCTTCCAGATGGAAAAATGATCGAGCCAACCAAATCTCGAGAACCGGTCCTTGGGTACCGCGAGAATACATCAGCGTGACAGAGGAGCAGACACCAAGTTCTATGCCTCAGTGATAGATACAGACGGTGGCGAACGAATCCCACAGACACACGTAACGAGCGCGACGCCAGCAAAGTAGTCAGTTTGCTTGGCCCTTGGAGGTTGAGACTTGTGTTGTTGCTGCTGCTGCTGATGTGGCAAAAAAAAAATCCGTTGCATCCGGACTAAAAACGTTGTCTGCCATCACAAATGCTGCTGCCGGGAAACAGAGGAGACACTGCTTGACATTGCTTGCTGCCACCGTGCTCCTACAAAGGAGGCCAGGATCTACTGGTCCCTGACCCTGTGGTTGGATGACTGGCCTCATAGGTCAAGCAAGCGAGATCGACACAAACAGCAGCAATGGTACCGTGAGCCTCTTTTTTGGCTTTTTTGGCCCTTTCGGCATACTTTTGGAACGATGTCTGTTATACACCATCTTTGCGCCAACACCTGCTGCTTTACTGAACACACTAGGCATTGGAAAGAGCACGGGCTCGAACGGGCGTGTTCTTCGTGCGTGCGCGGGGGTGCTAGCTTTCTATGTCTCTCCTCGCTGTATCCCAGCAGCACCATATGCGATGTTGTGGTTGAAGAAATGGAACAGCCAGCAGATCAGTTCAGTTGAAGCAAAAATCGGACTTTGAGCAACCAGGGGATCGCTTTCCTTTTTTGCGACGCTCTACACACGCCCATCTCCCGTTGACCATTCGCACAAATCGCTGGGGAGCAGCAAACGCATATCTAGCTGTCACCGCGTAGGGTGGTCGCGGCAGCAGAACCTCGAACTCGCGCATGCCGACTGCTGTTGTGTCGCCCTTCTCAACGAAAAAAATCGGGGTATTTTTCCCGCTCGTCCGTGCTGATCAGGAGGAGCTTTGGCCAGATTTCGGGCGAAAGTGGTCATTTTTGGTGCACAAGTGCTCCCCAACGGCGAATGCGATTGAACTACTCCCTTCTGTGCTGTCGGTTCTAAATCACAAGGGAGTGCACTATGAGCTCGCTTTTTGCAGACTCGCATTGCTTCCGATGTTAGCGAGAAGAACGTGCAAAAAAGTGTCAGAATCGAAGGTTGTTTGCTCTTTCGCGGCTCCCTCCATATCCAAATGAAAATCGGAACTTATAGTACACACTGGCCACTGCTCTCGTACACAGGTGTGTGTAGAGTATGAAGGGCCAATATATCCCTAGGCGCAACGACTCGTGCACCAAACATGAACAAGAGAGCGGTCTAAAATCAAGCAGTTTGATGCACGGCGTCGTCAGACGGACTCATTTTGTTTTTTCAGGGAGCTGAAATTTTCGAACAGACCGGACACATTTTTACGCGCATACAAGCCCGATTAGCACCTTTAACAGTAGGAGCATTTCGTCCAAAGGGTAATATTTGGCGGTAACTACTTGTATGCGCTTGCGTGGGATCTCGTAAATCTGAATTTTTACGTCACAGTTAAACCTCGATATTACACCGTAACGACCAAAAAAAAAATTCGGAACGACCACTCAATTTTCATTCTTTTGTTGTTGACTCGGTGGCCGAAATTTGATATATACTGGGATTTAGACTCAAAAAACGGGCGCACGTACCGGCGCCAGGTGGAAAGTTGACTCTTGATACTCAATGAAACCTGTCTACAGACCATACTCTATGAATCACCAGGACCACATTTTCTCTCTACCCTGGAAGGCCGCGAACGTATGAATTTTTGAGTGTTTTTGCCTGTTCATTTTTCTCTCTTCAACTCCAAAATCTGTTCCTGGTATTTCATAGCTTTGCTCCCAGCACCCACAACGCAAAAAACCACGCCCCGATCCAACGCGTTGCCGTTGAGGGGCACTTGCGCCCGTTTAGGGGTGTATCATGGCCAAAATGGGGAGGGGCGGACGCAAAAAATCGCGGTCGCAGATTGGAGCGCACCAGAGACACGATTGGACATACCTTCATGCGACGAGGGCTCTTAAGGACTAGGACTACCTAACATGGAGCTCGAGTGCCAAGTCCACGCTCAGAGACTGAAATGGCCGCCGCGGCGAGGCGGTGTTGACTTTTGCTTGGAAACGGAGGCGCTTGATGACACAGCTTGAAAATTCGAAAAATAAAGGATGCCGAAAATTCACACATACTCGAGCTTGGTGTCACCCGTCGCCCGCCGCACACAAGTTGCCACAGGCGACCCTGAGCAGATGCGTCGCTAGCCCTGCTCACACTGATTATTGGAAGCCCTCAACTTTGCTCGTCCTCGATGAATTGGTCCCGATATGTGCGTGAGCGTGTTTTCTAAAAGCTTCAAGTTGGAGCCTGCGGCCGGTTCTTCAGCCGAATCAGACCCAAATCTCTCGCTTCCACCAAAACACGCTCACGCACATATCGGGACCAATTCATCGAGGACGAGCAAAGCTGATAGCTTCCGATAATCAGTGTGTGCAGGGCTAGCGGCGAATATGCTCAGAGTCGCCTGTGGCAGCTTGTGGGAGGCGACAGAATGGATAGAAACAGCACCTCGAACTGCCTCTGACGGCACCTTCTGTTTTCGGTCTATTTTTCCTCCGCTCTCATCATCGACATATGTTCCGACTTTGCTGCTGCTGAAAATGCATTCATATGCATGCACTGCTGCTCCAGCTGATGGGCTGTTCTAGTTCGCCTGATCGGCTAGCGTCGTGCACATGATCCTTTGCTGTTGTTCCTGTGACTGCGTGTATTGTGTGCAGCGCACGTAGTACGCTTTGGTATTGTTTACAAAGTTTACAAGTGGAGTCGTGTTTTTTCAGCGTTTTGGTGACGTGCCCACCTGTTTCTGGGATCGTTGATTGGTTACTTTGAACTGGC